CAAAATAAATGGCATATAACTTGTACCTGAAAACATTGTTAGAATCATCTCTGGCAATGTGCAAATGCTGTGCACCTGTTTTGTCATGTGTCAGCTGTACAGAAACCAGGAACAATTCAGGAACAGACACCACCTGTGACAAAAATGGTAACATACACTCAGTCCATAGTTAGCATTAAACATCTTTCTTTAAGGTGGCTCAAAACAGTTTCAAGCACTTAGATTTTGATGGGTCATTATAAGCACTCTTTATCATTTGATGCTACAATCATGGTATCAGAAAACTGTCCAGTCATTGATAAACAAGTTGTTATCATTTTTGTGACACAATAGGTTACCATAGCAACAGTATGACCTGCCAAAAACACTCTTAATTTAAAGCTTTAGGGGCTTAAATTCAAAAACTGCAGGGTGAAATTTTTTCATATTATCAAATTTAGATAAGTATGATAAGATGCAACTTTTGGCTAAGTTTACAAAAATTCTGTACATAGGGTTTAGAGCCACCATAAAACTTTAAAGTGGCTCTGAATCCTATGTACTTGCTTAATGGCCCTTGTCAGGTTTTAGTCAGATGGGTGTCCCGGTGTCTTGTGGAGATCCTTTTTGTTATAGAAAATTGTTTTATTTTTTGCATGTTGCTTAACAATTTGTCCACTTGAACAGACCTTATAGCATATTTTGGACACCCACTTTTCAAATGCTGGCAAATAGCCTAGTGTTCTTATTAGACTTGACATACACTGTACAGTGCATATGTACCTTATCAACTGTATATNGCAGCTTCTAAAGAATTGAACTTGTTTTCTTCCTTCAACACACAAAGGCCACGTTTAAGAACAGACCTGCCATTGTATCGCAAATAGATGTGAATTAATTTACAGAACCAAATCAATATTCCCTAATCTTTGTGAGAAGAGAAAGTCAAATGAAGGTACTGCTCAAAATAAGTATTTGAATTTCCTCCAAAATTTTCCCAGGAAATTTCACTTGGCCACAGGCACAATCCACTAACCCAACTGGGAAATCACCTAGCCCCGGACTGTTGGACAAGACTTTCTTTGCACACTGGTCATACCACAGGAATCCCAAGCTCCATCAGGGTCATTGGGACCTTTTGAAACAGCCCCAAAATGTCACAGAAACATAACAAGAATACAGAAGAATTGAAAAATGCTACTTTGATCAAATATGTTTTCCATATTTTGAATTGTAATGATTGATCTTAATTTTCACTCCCATACAAACTCCTACACTGTGCTATGCAACTGATTGTTATATATTAAATGTTCACCGCTTGGGAGACCTGTGCTTGTACAATTTGAATTTGTAAAGTTACAAAAATGTTTCCTTCTCGACAAATTATTCCGTTTTTCAGATGTGCTGTTCCAGAAAATACCCATATACTCAAACCCGTAAGAAAGGATTTTTGTTTTGAACCTCTCACATCTTAAAAAGTTCCAATGACCTTCCATGGGTAGGTATTGATATTTTCGCATACACGTTATTTCGCTAAAAACCTGCAACTAGCCTTGACTTGACAACAGCACCCTTAACAGTTTACTTCATCGAACCCACTTCATGACTAGTTATTTTCAATACTCACGTTGGACGCCAGCAAATTAGTTCAAGGTCTTCAAGTCAAATCAAGAAT